CTGATGGTTATGCTTGTGTCTGTTGCCATGATTGTGACCGCTTCGTCAACTTACAGCAGTGCACCTCTTGGCATCAACCTTCGTGAACATGATCCCAGATGCAAAGACCAACAACGAACAGGTAAAATCGATGTCTCAACCTTCTGAACCCTCACCCCTGTAAGCCCCTGAACCGCTTGAAAACGAGGTATGAACCCTGCTTTATCAGCCCTAAACACCCTGTATAACCCATTATAGTAGTCTCCATTTTCTTTTCCAATTATCCCAATATAACCCCTATATAACCCCAATCTTCAGAAACTGAGGTATGAACCCTGCTTTGCTGCTCAATGTCAAAGAGGTAGAGCTGCCTTCTTTTGTCTCTGAAGATAAGACCTGGACCACACCGACTGTTTAGGGTTTAGGGTTCAGGGTTTAGGGCAAAAATTGGGGTTTAGGGTTTAGGGAAGCTTCCCAAAAATGGAAGGATATATGGAAATACACTGGGAAGATTGGTTTGGTTTGAAGGTTTTGTTTTCAAGGTTCAGAGCTGAGGGTTTATAGGGTTACTATGGTTACGGGTCTGGGGTTTGGACCGCGGCGAAAATTGGGGCTTATATAAGGAGGCAAGGGGGGGTCATAAGGGACCCTAGCGGTGTATGATTCTACAGGTATCATTGAAGGCCCTACTAAGAATTCTATCGGGACAAGTTCCAGAAACTCCCGAAGTTCTGGACATGATTGCCAAGAAGCTCTTCAAAACCCTAAACCCTAAACCCTAAACCCTAAACCCTAAACCCTAAACCTGGACTTGCTATAAACTATTTCCTGAGCTCCCCACGGTTTGCTCCGTTTGGATTCAGTTCCTTAGGCGCAGGATCATGCAAGTGGCCCCTAAACCCTAAACCCCTAGGGTTTAGGGTTTAGGGTTTAGGGTTTAGGGTTTAGGGTTTAGGGGTGCCCGTGATAGTCACCTCCCCCTAACGTCAGAACCCCCCACCTACTAGTATTCAACGTTGTATTTGGATAATGGAAAAGAAAATGGAAACTACTGTTTAGGGTTTGGGGTATAGTCCCCCTTAAGTAGATAGAATATTAATGTCAGAACCCCCCACCCTACTAGCCTCCCTGGTGCTTAGTAGGGAATCGGGAATGGATTGTAAGGATTGTTATAGGGGATTATATACGGACTACTATAGGGATCCATTCCCCCATTCCCTCCTAAGCACCAGGGTGTGGTATTCAACATCCCCAACATCTTCTAGTATACCAAACTGGGCATATTTGATATTAGAGGGGTGGAGGTTTGAACATCAGGGGGTGATGCCTAATGATAATATTTGGGACTGGGTTCTGGGTTTGTTATGGTATAGATAGGGAAGGATTATATGAGAATATGATTGCCATCTATTCAACCCTTTTTGGATTACCAACCCTTAGAATAAGGACATTATGAATACCCTATGACTTGGGTCAATCCCCCACCCAGTGATGGGTACCACAAGGACTATTGTAGGTATGTTAAGGGCCTATTAGCTTCATACTAAGGAGCCATTACTACAGGGGGGTTGGCCCAACCTATGACCGATCCTTACGTTGGGAAGAAAAATTCATTGCATGATCTATGCATATGTGGAAGTCACCTCATGGTGGCCTGAGTTGCCGGCCAGCCAATCAATCCTGGTGTCATGATGGATGTTTGCCAGAGTGGCGTTGGATACCTGGCCAACGAAATTCAACGCTCAGGGTTTAGCGCTTAGGGTTTAGGATTCAGGCTCCCACAATACCCACATCTGTCCACATTAGTGTGGTCAGATTCAAATAAATGAGGAGTCACACTGCTATTGCTATCGCTTCAAAACTCAGCAGTCACGACCACTAAATTGGTCATGCATACACTAAACAACGGACTTCTTCGTATTTGCGCACCTTGTGTCGATAACCCGTTAACCCTGTACCCTAAACCCCAAACCCTAAACCTTCCTATCCTATCGTCCAGGATTAACAGAACTGAAAACCGTGCAGGCGCACCAAATCGCAAACGCGGATCGTCATCAAGTCCAGCAGGTATGCGATGACCTAGCCGGCAGAGGGGGGTATATAGGGATCATATAATGAAGGATCATGTAGGGATTATACACGGATGATAGAGGGATTATAGGCTTTTGGGTTATATAGGGGAATATGGGGGTTGTACAGTCTTCCAGAACATGCTTTCTACAAGGCCATTCCCGCTGCTGGTTCGGTGCAAATAGGCTTAATCCACCCAGTCCCCTCCACAGATTTGCCGCACACGCACACCCATATAACTCACAAGCCTACATCTCTAAATTTGAAAACCCAGAACCAACAAACTCTAAACCCCAACACCTAGACCCCGACACCCTGACACTTGAAAAACTAAAACCCTCAACCCTGAAGCTAAACCTTACACTCCTACAACCCTGAAACCGTAAGCGTGAATCCCAAAACACTGCTACTAACCCCTGAGGCCGTAGACCCTCAAAGCAACTCTACACCCTAAGCCTAAAACATTAAAACCATGCACCTCTACACCCTAGAACCGCCAGCCATAACCCAAGGCCCCAAGCCCTGAAACCTTCGAAGCCTGAACCCCCTAAATGCAAAACCCTTCATGTTTGGGGTTTAGGGTTTTAGGGTTTAGGGTTTAGGCCTTCAACTCACCCATGGCGGGGGCGTACGCATCGCTCTCTTCCGGAGCGTTGATCCGCACGCCTGAGGAAGCTTTGAAACTGCGGGCTGTTGAACGGGAGGGTCATCGAGAACTTATTGGGATACGTAGACATGATGGCCTGAATACATATATATATATATACTTATATTTATACACATATATATATACAGAAAAAAGACTATATAGGCACATATGTACAACAGGGCACGGAAAAGAAAATTGAAGTTGACCCTGAACCTCTAAACCCAAACCAGAAACCCTGAACCCTGAATCCTAAACCATGAACCCTAAACCTTCAACCTTGAACCATAAATCCTATGCCCTAAACCTAAACCCCACACCCTTTGGATACAAGTGCTTTAGGCTGGTTTCAGGGCGTACTGTGACGGTTCAGAGGGGCAAGAGGCAGAGCGTTCTTCCGGTAAAGGAAGTGCAGTGGTGATACATGAGCAAATAGGGTGTAGGGCTCAGGTTTTTGGTTCTACGGTTTGAAGGTTTGGGGTTTGGGGTTAAGGGTGTGGGCTGTTGTAGGATAAGAAGTCTAGATGACAGCAGCAACGACAGATGGATCGTCAACTAAAAGCACTAACAAGCTTTGCAACATAACAGTCATGAAGTGGCGGGCTCCAACAGAATTAGAGGCCCCTTTTTGGAAGTCTTTCGCATTAGGACTTTAAACTAAACCCTAAAAAGTATTGGGATCCATTTTGGGAACCCCTGTTGTAAGGAGACCGCCATATGTAGTAGGTGTAATTAGGGTTTAGGGTTGAGGGTTTAGGGTTGAGGGTTTAGGGTTTAGTACGGTGTGATTAGGGTTCAAGGTTTAGGGTTTAGGTTTAGGGTTGAGAATTTAGCAGGGTGAGGGACCCCCATTCTCGCATCTGAGCGCCCGGCCCTAAACCCGAAACCCCAGGCCCAAAGTCAAGCCGGACCAGAACACCAGACCAACGAGGAGTGTTTTTGGGTTTAGGTTTAAAGTTTGGGGTTACCCCCCAAATTAGGTGCAATTACAATAATGCCCGCAACACTAAATCCTGAACCTATTTCAACCCTTTCAAGCCACACGCTAACCCCTAAACCCCTAAACCTTAAATCCCTAAACCCCTAACCCCTGACCCCTAACCCCTAAATCCCTACACCCTAAATCTCTAGATCCCTACACCCTAAATGAGCCATTGTCTAAACTCCTAGTATCCCCCCCAATAGCCCCTATAATAGTCCCCTCTATAGTCCCCTATAACCCCCTTTAAGGAGCTTAGACTATAATACAAATTGTGTTCCTCAGCTCAGGACTGATCAGGTGTGGCGACATGAACTCCGTGCGAGCCTGAGCACGGGACAGAGTGAATCCCTGTTTAGGGTTTAGGGTTTAGAGTTTAGTTAGGGTTTAGGGTTTAGGATTTAGGGTTTAGGGTTTAGGGTTCACATTTTAGGGCTTAGAGCTTAAGGTTTTGGTTCAGGATTCACAGTTGAGGGTTTAGGGATGAGGGTGTAGGGTTCAAAGTTTAAGGTTTAGGGTTCACACTTGAGGGTCTAAGGATTAGGGTTCAGGGCTGGCGGTTTATACACGGTTGAATCTTTGAACCCGACACATCCCGAACCCGAAACCAAGCTAGCGCAACTGGAGTCAACGTCAATTGACCTTGGCCACCCCAGGCCCTAAACCCTGAAGCCCTAACCTCTAAGCCCTCAACCCTTAAACCCTAATCTCCAAACCCTTAACCCTTAAACCCTAACCACTGAACCCTGAACCCTAAACCACCAAACCCTAAACCCTAGACGTGGAGGTTTCAGGCCCTGACACAGGCTAACAGCTCGTTGCAGCCGTACTCAACCACAGACAGCTCGCCAGCCTACCAGTGATGCCAGAAGCCAATCTGGGATAGAAAAGGGGCCCTGTGAAAAATTATGTTCTATGGCTGTATAGGGGTTACACCGGATTATGGTCGATAATCATTCAAGACTTCCAAAGGAATAAACCAGCAATACCGTCAGTGGTTTCAATCATTGCAAGCCTTGTGTCTTTAAGGCTGCAGTAGTAGAATATTTGCAATGATGCCAGCAACTCTGGATTCTGAAGTCTACCTGCCTTGAAGATCATGCACACCGTGGGGTTATCGAAAACAAACTTCTCATTGCCTCACAGCAAACAAAGCGAGAGCAGCGGGACTCTAACCTGACAGAGCAAGCATGACCGGGTTTCTGTTAAGGATTCTATTTTAGGTTACCATAATATGGGTATACAGTAAGTTATAATGTGTCCCTATTATAGTTATTTAGTTTAAATTCCGTAACAGCAACCCAGATGAATGTTTGAGCACTGCACCGCTGGAGTGCCATGGAATCTCGGACAGTCTGCCTCAGGTTGTGCAACAATGGGCAGGGAGGACTCTCGCACAGATGAAGTTGCAGTCAGAACATCCAAGGACAATGTTGACATGTGAGCAAAGCTTTTGTGATTGTTTATCGAAGCAGGATCATATTGCACAATCAGCAAAGGTAGGACCTAATCTTGCTTTCCATTGGGGACTTTTTGTCCCCAAGTAACACACTACTTGGAGGGTCAGGGGGCCTAAGTTGATTTCTGTAACAATGAGGATAACTTGGGTTACTGTGTGGCTTATGTGGGTTGCGGGTATGCTTACTTACTAAGTCCCTATGAACTACTCAACAACTAAAGACACTAAACCCTAAATAGTAGTTTCCATTTTCTTTTCCACCATACCAATATATCCCCTATATACCCTACTATATCATAGTAGTTTCCATTTTATGTTCCATTATCCCAAAATAACCCCAATATAACCCTTGCGTGAAAGGCAGCGCCCGAGATCTCGGCATGTCTGCAGATCCCCGAGCAAAATGCTCTCCGGTGTGTGAGCTACCAGGAAGCGCTCCTGAGCCAGGCGAGCTGAAGCCAGAATCTAGGGTTTAGGGATTAGGG